ATTTGTGTATGACAGTAGTTACAGATATTTACAAACATTAAGCAGTATTATTTAGCAATCCAAAATTTCTATAAGAGTCTATTATTCTAATTTTTGATGAAATATAATATTTTAAATGGAAATAAAAATAAAATTTTTAATGTCAGTAATGATATACATGATGAATTGTGATTATTGCTACAATCTGCCGAATAATGATAATTAATAAACTGTCTGATTACTTATAATGCTAAATATGTATCTTTATGTCAATTCGTATTCGATGAGTACAAGTCAAATCAAATTCGTAATGTCTTAGAATGTATGAATGCCTTAATTAATATCATTAAATTTTCTCATGAACTTTTTTCATTTATCTTATACGACGTACATCCATAATTTTCTTCTGATAAGTGATGAAAATAACATATATTATTCCTCTTGAACGCCTCGTCATAAGCAATAATTTTATTCTTTAAAATTTCTATAAATGTATGATTTAAGAATATCCTTGTTAAGTATTGTATTTTAAAGTAGCCCGTCAATTCTGTTTTTTTTTTAAATAACCTATATTTTTATGTAATATCATATTTTTCTAATATATTTCATAGAACAACATAATATCTCAAAAACTTAAAAAATTTTGGCATTAAAGAATTAATAAAATGCAGTTTGAATATCATGATAATTTAGTTTCAAGCAATATCGCGTGAATACTCTCGATATATTGCTTGAGATTAATCTTCTACTTGAACTTTCGATCGTAAATTTTTTGTTAGATTTTTTTTGTTAGATTCTGCATTCGCTTTTTTAATATGTAGTTCTAAATGTTTCCTCCACAAAAAAATTTTTCCGCAGGTACGGCAAATTAGCAATATTGATTTTTCAAATCTAGAACTACTTAAAAAATTAATGTCAATACAACGCAACAATGATTTCTTTAAAATAATTAAACTGCAAAGTAAATAACTCTTCATGTGATTTCAAATTTTAGAATATACATAATTAGAAAATATAAGCACGGTATGTTGGAAAATATTAATAATTTTGTATGTTTGATGAAGAGTTATTTTACTCTGAAGAGTTATTTACTCCGATGTAGTAAATTTGGTAAAAATTTTTTTTCATAATTAATCCAGAGTAAAAATATTCTTAACTCGTCACCACTATTTCACCAAAATAATTAATTTTTGAAATATACTTGATATATTTAATTATATTTGATATACACTTTAATAATATAGAAACATAAATATAAAATGAAAAGAACTAATTTTTTCAACGACGTCATACAAACTTCACTTTTCACACACACACACACACACACACACACACACACACACACACACACACACACACACACACACACACACACACACACAATTTTATAGAACACGAAACTCTTTACTCTGGCGATGTTAAATTCGTATACATTTTACAGGATAAACACAATGATTGAAAAAAAAAACAGAATACAATGGTTTAATAAACTGACACTCAAATGAAGAAGAAAAGAATGAAAATATGGGACCATGCCCTCTTTTTGCTATTTTATTTTCTGCATTTGGTTTATTCATTCAGTTCGGAATGTGTATTTTATTGATGGCTATACCGAAACTTCGGTTGGCACATCAAATACGAATAATGTGAAATTAACGTTTAAATTAGCATTCAAAGAAATTTTTTCTTTTCACAGATAATATATTGGAAGTGCCATATGATATACTTTCAGATTCACGAGTCTGAATCTTTTATCGCATACTGTTATTCCTTACCGCATTCCTCGCATTTATGCGCCATCAGAGAATGTTTCCATATGTACCATTTACCACATGCATCACAGATATATCGTCTATCACATGATAATTATTACGCCTGGCTTTACCTAAAAAAGAATACGCCATTAGAATGTATTCTAATTACTATAGTTTTATAAGATTTATGTTCTTTTTCTCAGTCGCGTTCAAGTTTATTAGAAAGCTTCTTCATTTCTTTGACAAAATAAAATTATTCGATTGAGTTTCTCGTCTGTCACTTTTAATCAATTGGGTTTTTTTTAAGGCAAATTTGAAATCAGAATATAGTTTCGCAGTCTTTATTCTTCTAACAAAAGAGTTTATAAATGTATTTCACTTCTGCGTTATCTACATTCTCTACCATCATATTATCGACTTTAATATTATATTCATATTGAAAACAAAAATAACAGATGTTGTTTATAAGATGCAAAGGAAAATCTCACATTCTACACAATCTTCCTAGAACATAAAATATTTCAATACATGCATTATCTTTAAAATAAATGCAAATGATTATTAAGGGCACATGCTGACGCCTGGCGTAATATCAAATTCTGATAACTGACTTACACATATGATTTATAAAACATCGACACAGCATGAATATTATATAATACTATATTAATATCGCACGCACATACACAATTTATATAAAAAGAGAATCTTTTAAATAGATATCCAAACTTAATTCTAACGATTTACCATTATTCATTTATTTATTCATTTATTTATTTTACATCTGGATCTACTTTTATTTCACGCATATGAAATAAATGCACAATCTTTCCACAAGTAAATATTTCGATAAATTGACAGCTTAATCATCATATTGAGATATAAAAATCGATAAGAAAATCTGTAATTTCTGTTATTTCTTTCCTGTTTTTAATACAAAATAGACTGGAGCTATAAAGCATGTACATTTTAATCGTGGAAAAGGAATTTTTAATTTTTGAAATTTATAACATTAAGTATATTTCATGTAACAAAAATGATATTTTTGTAAAAGAAACGACGCCAGCATTTCCTTAAGTTGAGTTGAATCCAAGCAAACAAAATACCTCCTCAATCGTGTATGTTTACTTGATTTGGGGATTTAATTTGAAGAACAACAAACTATACTTTTCTTGTATAATAACGCTGTGCAATTTACATTTCCTAAACAAAATAAAAAAAGAAAAATATATTGTGCAATTGATTTATCTAATTGTGATTCAAGATGATGGCAGAAAATTCTTATATCTTGTAACGTCGAATCTAATCAGTTTCAGACTTGTTTAACATAATAAAAAAGTGACTTTATTTATTCTACAATTTAGCGTCTATTTGAGAATAAATTTTCGGAAGACTAAGGAAAGAGGGGGGGGGGGGGAGAGCGAGAGAGAGAGAGAGAGAGAGAGAGAGAGAGAGAGAGTATAATAATAAAATTAAATATAAATAGGTACTTTTCCACACAGCATTGTTCAGTTATATAAGCAAACACTAGGCGTGAGAAAATCTTGTTTGGACATCTTATGCGAGAGCATCGTTCAAGTCGTCCTAAAGCTGCTTTGGATGAAAAAAATAATACAATGTCATTTTTATCTTACTTTATTATTGCATTATGTATTCAGGTTTGTTCCAGTTGTGAACGTGAATCAAGTGTAGTTTGAGCTGACGGCTACGCCGGAGCGTTGCATTGCACACTGGACATGGATAGTGCTGCTTCTTACCGCAGTCCTCGCGTTTATGCCTCGTCAGAGATGGTTTCCATGTGTACTCCTTACCGCATACATCGCAGGTGTATTTGCCACGGTATCGCCTATGATAATTTTGAAGCCTATAGGATCCATCGTCGTTACCTGAAAAGAAAGCACGATGTTAGCGTGTGCTCTTAGGTGTTGCAATCTCACAGTCAGATCTATATTCTTTCTTAAGTCTTCATCATGCCGTGGCAATTTATTAACGCGCTTTTTTTTATTTTCTCTAAAGAAAATAATAGTTAAGTTTGTCATCTAGTTTAGATTTTACTTGTATAATTCATGTAAATTCTTCGAAGATTCTTCTAAGCACAATTTAAAAATCGAAATGTACAGATTCGCAATTTTGATTTCGATAGAAATTTAAGAATTTCAGAAGGAATGTAGGAAATTAGTACAATCGATAATCTTTACATATTTTTGTTTTTTATCATCTATTTTCTACTCTTGCAATATGTTACTCATATTCATATAGGAGAAGAAGATAATGGAAATATTCGTATGGAAATATTTTATGCATATACACAATTTTTATTTTAATAATCAATCATTTTTTTTTTCAATTATTTTATATAAATCGTACGAAAAAAGTATAGGGCCTGCTAAAGGAATGATTAACTAACCATGATTAAACAATAATTAAATTATACACATAAATATTTTACAATGAAATGTGATGATAATTATCTTATGAATGATACATTTATTATTCAAATAATTGCCAAAAATTGTTCTCTTCATAAACATTGGGGTCATTATCAAAAATATAATAATGCAAACATAATTTTATATTAAGTAATAATGAAATGTTATGAAAATGCATATTATAAAAAGATCATTCATATTTGAAATTAAATTAT